TAATCCATTTCTTTTGAAAACAAGGTAGCATGTACCCCCTCCAACCCTATTGTCTTTCCTTGATCTGTTCTTTCCCATTTGCTTACTAGTGATGAGCTTTCCACTTTGTCATTCAGTCCCCAAGACAGCCTAAAGAATTCCCAGTTTGTTCTCCTTCCCCTTTTACCCTCCACCTTGATTGCCCTTCTTTCAATTACCATGAGCAAATTACCGTTTCCTATCAAAAAAGAAAAAAAAATACCATGAGCAATTGGCTGGTTTTTGTCTCCAACCCCCTAACAAAATTCCCAACAACTCTCCAAAAGACAATAGCTTCGACAAAAACCTAGGGAGAAATTTCTTCCTTATCAACCTGTTGTCTGTTGTTGTGATGTAAACCTTGTTGATGTTGTACCTGCATCCCATTCCTCCACTTGGTTCATCACTATCAATCCAATCTCAAGTATCTCATCATACAACACTTCCCTTTGCTTTTCTTCCCTGATGATAAGACAATAGCTTTGATCCTCTCCGCCCCCATCTCCTCGATGGATATTGCTTCATTGCTTGATTGAAGTTCCTCCTCTTGAAGCTCTTCTTGCATTCTACGTCAAATTTCCTCTTGGGGGTTGCTTCGTTGATTCTTATTAGACTCTTATGGTGTAGTTGGGTCCCTTTTGCCCCCACTACCTTCATTCCCAAAACTATTCTCCTCCCCTTTTTCATTTGCTTGGTCCATGGTCCACGTTGATGTGCTCAGTCCAAGGCCCCTTTGCATTGTCTCCTTGGATCCCCTTACGCCAGTCCCAATATCTCTTGCCAATTTGTTTTCATAGTTGACTCACCTAGTTGATCGCAAGCCCTCCTTCATGTGTCTTTTCTTGGGTTGCTTCATACTTTACCCGGTCTGCCCAATTTAGTAAAATTGCTACTTGGTTTGGGTTGTCCTTCCGACCATGTGCCACTTATACATTGACATCTCTTACCACTTGTAAATCTAAGGTGGTGACTACATCACTACCTACTTCTACCCTCCATTCCCTTTCTATCTTGTACCCAATTCTCTCCAAACATCTATTCACCACCATCTGAATGAGCCCTTCTTGGTTTATTAAATTACCTTGTCAATATGCTTTGTTACTGATGTTTGGGGGCCATATCATATCTCTTCTATGGGTGGGTACAGATATTTTCTACTGTTTGTTGATGAGCATACCCGKTTTTCTTGGGTCTATCTTATGCGTTCTCGGGATGAGGTTCCTGCTCTGACCCAAAACTTCCATCAGATGGTTTTCACTCAGTTTGGGACCAAAATTAAAGTCCTTAGATCTGATAAT